ATTCTTTTTTAATCTATTTAATTTTATTTTATAATTTTATTCTGCTCTATTTTATTTTATTCTACTCTATTTTTTTGTTTTATGCTATTTTATTTTATTATTATTCAGTTCTATTTTATTTTATTCTATTGTAATGTATTTTATCTTATTTCATTTTATTTTATTCTTTTTTATTCTATTCTGTTTAATTTTATTTTATTTTATTTTATTTTATTTCATGTTATATTTCGTGTCTCTGTACAGCACCAGCTCATCATCATAGCCCCGCCCCCTCCTGACAACCAGCACGCCTCGTGCTCGTCTCCTAGCAACCGTCCTGTCCGCCCCGCTCGGTGCCTCTGCAGGCCGTCAGCCCGCCCGGACGCGCCTCGGTCCCGGACTGAAAGTCGCCTGAATAACGGAGGAGAATCTCCGGGACCTTCATGGAACCGAGCCGAGAGTGAGCCGGGCTGCCGAAGCCGAGGGCGCCGCCATGAACGACCGGTACCACCGGGCGGCCCGGGACGGCTACCTGGACGTGCTGAGGGAGGCCACACGGAAGGACCTGAACGCACCGGACGAGGACGGGATGACACCGACCTTATGGGCCGCTTATCACGGAAACCTGGAGACGCTCCGGCTCATCGTGGGCAGAGGGTGAGTCCACGGGTCGAGTCATCCGGTAACAGCCGGTGGTCATTTAATAACTGAAATAATTTAACTTCTCTTCTTATATTTAACCAGTGGAGGAGATTTATTCTCTCTGGTGTCACTGGGTTACATTTGTTCTAGTAATCTGACTTTTTTTTTTTTAGTTTAAAGTAAAATTTTTACTGTAAATTTTTCTTATTTCAGTCAAAAACATCTCGTTTATTTCAAGAAGAAAACTTAAAATATGAAACTTCTGAAACTAATACATGAAGAAAATATAATTAAGTCACAGCTGATTATTATGTAAATAGAAAAATGTTAAGTATATAATTTTACAATAAGACAGATGCTTAGTATTTGTTGTTCTGACATGTGTTAGGGACTGTTCTTTATTAATCAGAGGAGGCTGGTGGCCGGGGTGTGGCATTGTTTTTTCTTTGATTTTGTTTGTTTTTTGTATTTTGACCCTCCCCAAAGCTACAGATATTTTTCCTTCAGCCTCCTGAAGTGACAGGAAATGCACGACCCTCCCTCCACCATAGATTAGCTGTTTGATTTTTAAAACTTTCCCTTTAATGTTTGAAACAATAAAATGGAAAATTCTGGAGCTCAAAATAAAACCCTGATTTTGATTAAATGTAACTATTTTAAACTCAGATTTAGTCGCCATGTTTCTTTTTAAAAATCACCAGTGAAATATTTTTTTAAAAAAATACATTAAAGTTGTGTGCTCCTCCCCTAACCCAAAATAAAACACACATCCCCCAATGCTTAAAAAAATATTTGACATTCCTCTGCTTGTTTTTGCACCACCTCCTCATAAATAATGAACAGTCCCTTATTACTGATGGGAACTTATTAAATCCTTCAGCTTCACAAAGACAAACATTACCTACAGTGGCCGTGACCAGGGGTCTATACACTGTATACACTCACCGGTCACTTTATTAGGTACACCTGTTCAACTGCTCGTCAACTAATATAAATATTCAGTCATGTAGACATGGTGAAGACGAGCTGCTGAAGTTCACACGGAGCATCAGAATGATGAAGAAAGGTGATTGAAGTGACTTTGAACGTGGCATGGTTGTTGGTGCCAGACGGGCTGGTCTGAGTATTTACTGGGATTTTCAGCACAACCATCTCTAGGGTTTACAGAGGATGGTCCCAAAAAGAGAAAATATCCAGTGAGCCAAAATGCCTTGTTGATGCCAGAGGTCAGATGACCTCTGGCATCAAAACACCACAGCCTACCTGAGTATTGTTGCTGAGCGTGTCCATCCCTTTATGACCACAGTGTACCCATCTTCTGATGGCTACTTCCAGCAGGATAACGCACCATGTCACAAAGCTCACATCATCTCAAACATGACAATGAGTTCACTGTACTCCAATGGCCTCCACAGTCACCAGATCTCAGTCCAATAGAGCACCTTTGGGATGTGCTGGAACGGGAGATTCTCAACATGGATCAACTGTGTGATGTCATCATGTCAATATGGACCAACATCTCTGAGGAATGTTTCCAGCACCTTGTTGAATCTGTGACACCAAGAATTAAAAAGGGGGTCCAACCTGGTACCAGCAAGGTGTACCTAATAAAGTGGCCTCTACGTGTATATTGTAGGCTGTATAATAACTTCACCTCACTGATGTGTGTCTGCTCGTATTAGCATGGATATAAAAACACTGCAGCTGCCTCCACCTCTGATGTAATCAGTGCTGCAGCTACATTTAACAGCCTGATTACAGAGAAAGGTCACACAGCAGGATAAACACATGCACACACACACACACACACACACATAAACACACACCATAGGGAGTAAAATGAGTGAAGCATGATAACGTTATATTTAATCTCACACATGAGGCTCAGGCTAATCCGTTACATAGAGCAGAGCTGCTGCAGCTACAGATACACAGTATAGAAGCCTTTGTAAACTCAACGATACGATCTGAGCTCTGAGAGTCTCGTGCACGCTGCGTATATGAAAGAGAAAACTGAGATAATTATGAAAGGCTTCAGGAGTAAGTCTATATTCTGCTGAGATAAGTCGTAGCTGATGTATCGAGAAGTCTTTTGTCTGCAGTTTAGGAAACAGAGCAGCCTGATATTTAGTGCCTGCTCTCTAACAGCAGGGTGCAGAGCAGTGTGTCATGGTGGCAGGTTTATAAGGCGAGCAGTGAAGTGGACGCAGTTTGAGTTTGATGCTGCGGCGCGACGGCACACACAGGAAAGGTCACAGTGATGGATAGAGTATATTCCTCCTACATCAGACCCTGGAGGGTGCAGCTCAGAGCCGATATGAAGCAAAGGTTGACGACTGAAGCCGAGCTGCAGATCAGAGTTCACAGCAAAAGGTAACGAGCAGCTCTGAGATTAATTTAACAGCAAGTGTTTTATTTTTTCTCAGTGACTTTTCTGATTTTAAAAAATTTTGAAATGTATGTAACAAAATAAAACAAACTTCTCAAGCAGCAGACGTAGTAGTCCTGTAAAAAATACAATATAAGAGTTCAGAAATTCATGAATAAATTAGTAAATATATGATTAACGACTGAGTGAACATACCAACTGTAGGTAGTTAACTTGTGAGGCTGATTACCACTTTGACAAAATAGGCAAATGTCCCAAAGGCCAATAATCCCAGGGTCCTCAAAGGCAACATGTTTATTTAATTTAATTTCTGCCACTACGGCACAATATGAGCTAAAACAGGTCATTTATTATTAACTGTAGTAATGAAAAAAAAACTTAAATAACTACAAAATTAAAGTATTGAATTTGTTGAAATTTTTGTTTCAGATCTTTAATATCAAACAGCCCACCAGCTGTCATCAGATGGTGCTAACTGCTGATCGCTGTACACAAGAACAGAAGTGTAATAAATTCACTCAGGAGAAAAAAACTGTGTGTGTGTGTGTGTGTTCCACGTTTTTCTCCTCACTGACTTGGTCAATCCATGTGAAATGTGGCACAGTGGTAGAGGGTCATGGGAGGATGCCAATGAAGCAATATTACATCAATTGGCCAAAGGGGGGCGCTATAGCAACCCATTGAAATGTCAAACTTTGAATGGGCATATCTCATGCCCCGTATGTGGTAGAGACATGAAACTTTGCACAGAGATGCCTCTCCTCATGAGGAACACATTTGCCTCAAGAACCCATAACTTCCGCTTATGTAGATTTTCCGCCATTTTGAATTTTTTGAAAAACACTTCAAATGGATCTCTTCCTAGGAAGTTTGAGCGATCTGCATGAAACTGGGTGAACATAATCTAGGGACCAATATCTAAAGTTCCCTCTTGGCAAAAGTTGGAAAACTTACTAAAACTGAGCTTCTATAAGGCAATGAATATTGCGGAGGGCGTGGCTCATCACATAAAGGTGTATAACATCTCAAGGGTTTCACCCATCACCACGCAACTTTGTAGGCATATGACCACACATAATCTGAGGGGACCCCTCCATTATTGACCCCATCAAACAAAATGGGGGCGCTAGAGAGCTCATTTCTTATCTAGGCCTAACCGCCATATGGATTTTTACTAAACTTGGTAGATATGTAGAACAGGACGCCTCAAGGTGACTGGAGAAATTTAACTCTAAATGGCAACTGGGTGGCGCTATAACAACAGAAAAATGCTTCAAAATGGCTAAAATGCCACCGATCGCTGTGGCTGCAATCGTACTATCAAATTCACTAAAGCTCTGTCTGAATACATTGCTCTTCTTAATGGGTTCAGTTGACTATTTAATCTGCAATTTCCTATGACCTGTATCCCAAACACACACCATGTGAAACTGTACGTGGGCAACTGTGCACTCAATGGGTACGGACTAGTAAACTTGTTAATCCAGAAAAAGGTCAAATATGTGGCGGCCTTTAGCTCAGCGTCTAGAGTGTCCACCACATGTAGACAGAGTCCTTTGCAGCAGCTGGTTTGATCCCAACCTGCGTCCCTTTGCTGCGTTTCTCCCCCTGTCACTCTCTAGCTCCACTGCAATATGGGTAATAAAAGCCAAAAATTCCTTCAAAAAGAAAAAACAGCAGGTTTTGGCAGACACATTCAACGGCGCCACACAGTACACAACCGTGTGCAGAACAGACAACAGCAAACATCACCCTGAGGCGATCACACTGATACCTTACATGATACAACCCTTCCCTCCTCCTGTCCACTGTTTTCCTCCTTCCTTTAAATATTTCTGTGGAGATTCAATGTGCACAGTGGCGACCTCCGTGGAGCCAGATTCTACTTTTCTATGTTAAGGGCTGAATTAGAGCGCATTGAGAGCTGATGTTGTTTTGGTGTTATTAAAATGAATCAGAAAAGGTCCCACTGTGCAGAGAAGCCCAGCATCTCTTATTTTAGTCAGGACATTGCGTCTCGACACCACTGGCCAGATGTGGGCGGGGCAGCCGCCTCCCATTTGAGCAAGATGGCGCATCTGGCCAAGAGCAGAGCAGAAGTCACTGTACAGTGCTCAGCAGGGGTCAGGTCGGGGTCATCTCCACCAGTGGTGCCAAACAGGAGCAACAACAGGGTCTAGACAGGGAGTGGAAGGGGGCACAGCCAGAACATATGGACCAGGGTCCATCACTGTATGCTTATATCAGGGTCGGTGCCACATAGCTTCACCTTGGACATGTGGTGCTAAACATGTTTGTGCGTATTTGAACATGTAATAGGGGGTCTGTGGGGACTGACTCGCTCTCGGAGTCTCCGTATTAAAATGCCCAACATTACAGCAGAAATAAACATGTTTACAGCCTGGCTAGCGTCCTCTGCCTCTCAGTCAGATCCACCCTCTTGTCCAAACATGGTCACCTCTGGCTCCAAAAACCCAAGATGGCGACGGTCAAAATGCTGAACTAAAGGCTTTAAAACAAGAGTACACAAACCAGTGTGTGACGTCACTGTGGCTACGTCCGTTATTTCTGTCTATTTCGTCTGTGGAAACAACTTGAGAGACAGGTTAAAAATCCTTTTCGCTGCAGCAGACTGAATATTTTTGAGGATTCAACAACCTTCTGTGTTTTTCTCCTAATACACAAGAAGAAACAAACCACTGTAGCTAATGTCAGTGTATCCTCATGTAACGGTTCGTATGATATCTAATCAATCAGCATGCCTACTAGTTAGGTTTAGGAAACTACAGTTTTTGGCACTTCTGCATTTGAATTATTATTTTTTCCTTAGAGGCTGCGGCTCGTCATAAAATGTATGGTGAGAGGACAGAATAAAATTTTGACCTGATGATGGCGCTAGAGGAAACGTCAGAGGATCACCAAAGTCAGTAAGCCTTCCCTCTGGGGACCATAAATGTCCACACAAATGTTGATGCCAAATAATTCAGCAGTTGTTGTGATATTTCAGTCTGGACCAAAGTGGTGTGGAGAGACTGACTGACACATCTACACCACAGGATTGTATTCCAACAGTGGTGGTTGGTCTCTGGGCGAATGTGTTATCTGTGCTGGACAGGAACTTGGAGGTAATATAAACAGGACGGGAGGTCCAGAGGCCTCCTGAGGCTGGAAATGAGAACCTGAGTTTTCTGTTTTCAGAAGTGTTGACACCCAGTCATACGTGTTGCTAGTAAACAGGTGGCTGTTTAGGTGTGTGTCATCTGTGAGTCCGAGCTGCTGGCAGAGCCGCCGATGGTCAAGTTTCTCTCTGAGACAGTTTGGAGTGATTCGTCCTTCGTGTCACTACAGTGACACATTTTGTGCCTGTAACTCTGGAACACGATCTGGTTGATTGCTCCTTCAGCTGACAGGATATGAGAGTAAAACATGATGCTCTGGACACAAAAATAAACCGTGCACTGTTTGTCCTGATATCAGATGAGATGTTCGTACGCGTCGCTGCCAGGTTTGCAGACAGGAGCTGAAATCAGGGTCGGAGCTGATAAAGGTGGTGACCCTGCGGTGTGTGGTGACAGTGTCGCTGGGTGTCTGCAGAAAAAGGCTGCTGGTGTGTGGGATGAATAATGCAGAGTCACCTCTGTCATGTTTAACCTGCAGCGTTTCAATTATTGATCAGCGCTCAGCCGCGGCCCGGCCGTGTGGGTGGAGAGAAGACAGGACGAGGAGGGACGGAGGAGGGGATGAGGTCCAACACAAACACAGCTTATGCTTGTTGACAAAGTGTGGATGAGTCAGCAGGCTGCAGGTGTGACGGTGGACTGTAATCAATCTGTTATCAAAAGCCAAAGTCTAGTGTTTGTTGTCATTATTGTTTGCACAGCATTCTGGGTAGTTTTCTGCTGATACCAGTTTTATCTCAGGTTGTGCTTATTCACTTGTTTGTCTAGAGGCGGCAGAAGGGAGGGATTGGGAACCAAAGCATCACAAGTTCAAGTGCCTGTCCTGTTTTTGTGTGTATGAGGATTTTTTGGATTTTGGATTTTTGGCTTTTGTGTGTGTGTGTAATGTGTACGAAATAACAACAGAGTAAAAAAGTTACATTTCCCCTCAACAGACAAATAAAGTTAGGGTTCTTCTATATAACTCATGTAATCCTGATCCAGAACGCTGTGATCATGTGACCTGTGCACCGCAGGTTGTGCTGCTTCATATGATGGGAGCAAAAGAGGGAGTCAGGTGACGCAGTATAGAGAGAGGTGAAGTCCACAGCAGGGCAGCGATGGTGGTGGATGGGTCAAAGAAACACAGGACTTTGACTCAGGAGACTGTTTGAAACCAAAAGTCAGCCAAGAGTTATTTTAAGTAACATATGTACGTAACGTCACGCCACGCCGTCACAACACCCAACTATGTTTCTTTTGCTAAACCTAACCAGTTGTAAGATGTCTTACAAACTGTTGCATGAGGGTATATTTAATATTTCTATAATGCGTATCTGATACTGACGACTAAGCAGTAGTTAAATTTTTACCCTCCAACAGCTGGTGCTCGCTGTCAGCTAAGATTACTGCCGTTTGACAGGGATAGAAGAAGTCTGCAAACGCAGTCATGATGCACTGACTATGAATGATGATTTCTTCATCACTGATTCATCTCAGAGTTCCCCACAGGTTCATTTATCTGTGGCAGCCTGCCATGATATGGACATCTGGCGCCACATTTTGATTTTCTGTTTTTGGAGCTGAACCGTTTATTAGAAGTGCTGATGTAATATACAGACTGTTCAATTATTCACTGCACCACACTCTGGGGGCGCAGAATGTTCTCTGGCACAGATGGAGCAGCAGAACACAAGGCACAGTGAAAGTGACACTTAACCCTTTATTGCGCTGGTTCCAAACATTTGTTTTCACTCACCTCTGCAGCAGCTGCTCCTCAGATTCTTCGATCAGATCTGATCAGCTCTGATCAGATTAGGGCTGCAACGATTAGTCGACTAATCGATGACAGATCGACTATTAACACAATCGGTGACTATTTTAGTAGTCGACTAATCGGTTTGAGTCATTTTTCATAGCAAAGTACTATAAAAGTACCCAGAATACTCTTATTGCAGCTTCTTACGTTCAGATATTGGCAGCTTTACACACTCTTCCATGACGGTGAACTAAAACCCTTTGAGGTGAGCACGAAACAAGACAATACATGACGTAATTTTGGGGTTTGGGAGAGACAGACCGACATTTTTCAAAATTTTAACACATTTTTCCATAAAATGATTCGTCGACTAATCGAAGAAATAATCGACAGATTAGTCAACAGTGAAAATAATGGTTAGTTGCAGCCCTAGATCAGATCAGCTGATCAATTATCCACCTGTGACTCAAATTCCACAAATTGCTGCTGCGGGGGAAAAAACTCATGACGAGTTCTGCGTGGACTGCGTTCACGGACCTGCAAATAAACCCAAATTGACAGGGGGGACACCGAGTGATACAAAGGGTCACAGAAAAAATCCCAGAAGCTTTGACGGAGTGTTTTTAGCGTGTAACAAAAGCGCTGTATGGACGCAGATCTTTGCACAGGAAGTAGGTGATGGACTGTGGTATTTTCTTCGCCCTTTCACAGTTGGATGGTAGTTTTGTCGAGCTAAGTGTGTCCAGTGTTAGCGTTAGCTTGGCCGTCAGCGGCTAACACTATCTCTGGATGGTGGTGTGTGAGGTGAGCCCTTGTGTTCACAGTATCCTCAAAGTATTTTATTCTCATATGACACTGCTTGTAAATCACATGTGACTCCAAAATAAGTCCACAGGTTTGATTTAAACACCGACTTCCTGCCATATGCCGCAGACTGAGACCTCTGCTGACCTCACCAGGAAAACCACCATCTAGTGAACCGAAGAAGCAACTGATTTTATTATTCTGGTACCGAAAGATGTATTAAAATGTGTGTGTGCACAATTAGTGATGTATATTAAAAGATTGATACTTGCCATCCATGTGTTGACACAATATCATCAGGCAAAATATCACGATACTATGCTGTATCGATTTTTTTCCCCACTCCTGTCTAGCTGCTGCTGAATCTTAAAGGAAAGAACTAAGACATTAAAAGTCCACACGTGAATACACGTGTTCACGTATTTCTGACCATGTAAGTGTGAATAAAGTAAATTGGTTTAAACGCTGGTGTCAGTAACAGAAATCATACTGTATGTGTGAATCCAGTGATGCAGAGATCCAACATGGCGTCTTGTCTCCATATGTCTTCCAGAGGTGACCCGGACAGGTGTGACATCTGGGGCAACACGCCGCTTCACCTGGCAGCTGCCAACGGCCACCACAACTGCCTGTCCTTCCTGGTGGCTTTCGGTGCCAACGTGTGGTGTCTGGACAATGACTACCACACACCGCTGGACATGGCCGCCACCAAGGGACACATGGACTGTGTCCGCTACCTGGACTCCATCGCTGCCAAGCAGATCACCCTCAACCCGAAGCTGGTCGGCAAACTCAAGGACCGGGCGTTTCGTGCGGCGGAGCGCCGGATCAAAGACTGCGCGAAGCTCCAGAAGAAGCACCGTGAACATATGGAGAGGAAGTTCCTGAAGGAGGCGGCAGCTTTAGACAACCTTGATGCTATCAGCTTCTCCAGCTACACCAGCAGCAGCACGCTGAGCCGCAAGTTCAACACCGTCACCTCCAACATGCCATACTCACAGGTGGTTGTTGTTTGACTTTGTGTCAAAGGTCTAGTGTGTTGGGCTTAGAGTCATCTGTCGGCAGAAATTAGATGTAATAATAATGTTTTCATTAGTTTATTATCACCTGAATATAAGAATCATTGTGTTCTCGTTACCTTAGAATGAGCTGTTTATATCTACATATTATGATTCTACAGTAGCCCAGAGCGGACAAATCAAACACTGGCTCAAGATAGGGCAATTTGCATTTGTGTGTCAGCCACTGTAGTTGCTCAAGTGGCACACAAGAGATGTTTAGATGCTGCTAAATGATGAAGAAATGATGATGAAAAAATTATTTTATTAGCATTCAACAAGCACCTCCTTTCAGTTTTAAACCAGTATTTACTCTTTTTTGGCCACTTGGGGACAGCAGAACAACCTGTAAACACAATATTAATATTTTTTATTTTCTAATGACGGACACGTTATAAAAACAGTTGCCTGTTTACATCCAGTGGAAACTCAGCAACATTAGCAGTATTTTTGGAGTCATGTTTCTGGCTACTGTTTCTCCAGCCCACTTTAGATGAAACCACGCCCGCTTTCACATGACGACCGCAGGCGACCAGATGTCAGGCCCAATGATTTGCTGCCAGCCTGCTGCTGTGGCACGCAGCAAGTCAGGCCCTACGTGCAGAGAGCAGAAAATAGAGTCCACAGCTCCAGATTCAGGGGTGTGAGGACACTGGAGGAAGGCAGACAGAGGGCCCTCAGCTGTGGGTGAACACCACCCTTTCCAAAAAACACTGAGGAACTCTTCACTCTCTTGTCCCTCTCCTTAAAACCTTGCAGATTTTCAACCAGCACTCTTATCTTAGTGGGGATCTCATCTGCTCTGGCACTTCACTGTTTTACTACAAATATGACTTTAAACCTCTAGGATTATGTTTCAGCTTTTAAGAAAGACGAATGAAAGAAACCGTCTACTGTCTGCTGAGGGCTGCTTGAAAAGGGGACAAACTTTGACTATTTGAGTCGTAACAAAAGTGATTGTTTAAATTGACGTGGGTTTATTCATTCAGTGGTCTGAATGGAGTCTTTTGATTGTTAATGTCTGTACTTTCCCATCAGGCCACGCTGCAGTCCACAGCCAAGGGCAAGGCCAAGATCCAGAAGAAGCTGGAGAAGAAGAAGCAGGGCGATGGAACGTTTAAGATCTACGAGGACGGACGGAAAAGCGTGCGCTCTCTGTCCGGCCTGCAGCTCGGCAACGATGTCATGTTCCTCAAACAGGGCACGTATGCTAATCCTAGGGAGCGGTCACGCCTCAACATCCGCGACATGTTCCCCCGTGACAATGATGACGACGCTGACACTGTCTCCCGTGCCATGAGCGACCCGGGCCTCCACGAGGCTGCGTATTCAGAGATCAGCGCCGACTCCGGACGTGACTCCCTGTTCACCCGACCCGGGCTCGGCACCATGGTGTTCAGGAGGAACTATATGAGTGGAGGCATGTTTGGGACCGGGGCGCGGGATGGAGGGAGTGTGGCAGGGAGTGAACCTGTGGGCCGGGCGCCTAATGTTCGTCTACGAGGACATCTGCCTCGACATTCGCCCAGCTTTGATGAGGACAGTATTGGCAGCGCCTTGAGCCTGCAGGAGAGAAACCTTCAGGAGCTGCCATGGGAGGAGGCTGATATTGGACTGGATGAGGACTTGGAGCCAGAGAACAGTCCTCTGGAAACCTTCCTGGCGTCTCAAAGCCTCAGTGAGTTCATGACGATTTTCAGGAGGGAGAAGATCGACCTGGAGGCTCTGCTGCTTTGTTCGGATCAGGACCTCACCAGCATTCACATCCCTCTGGGCCCCAGGAAGAAACTCCTGGATGCCTGTAAGAGACGTCTGGACACCATAGATGAGCCAGAGGCCATTGATGACACTGAGCTCTGAAGGTTAGTATGAAGTGACCCATGTTTTGTTTCAAATGGGAAGCACCACTCTGTCAGCAGATAAACCTTTGTTGACTCTTAGAAGGTTCTGTTTCTGCATCAGCATATTGTTCAGATGACATTTACTGTGGATAAGAGACGTCAGTTAAGAGACGTATTGTTGACCCTGAATCTTGACCATGCTCCACGGTTTCCGCCCCGGGCTTTGACCCGGAAGTCCAATAGCATTAAATGTGTAAGAGAAGAAGAAGCCGGTAACAACATGGAGAAATCTACATCCAGAGCCGTGACTTTTTGGACGGACCAAATGTACAGAGCTGTAAAGTTGTCCACCATGGTAGCAGTTAGCTGCTAGCTAACCGTAGCTAACTTGTTTGTCCATTGTTTGGTCTGTGACGTAATAGGTCAACAGGAAAAAGGTCCAATACTAACAAGCTGAAAGGGGGCATATCTCCACCTATCGTAGAGGAGTCGCACATACTTGGCTCAATAAATGGATTACCCTCCCGTGCTTGTATACTGGGACAAGGACAGTAGGCCAGTTAGATGTCCTCGTCCAGCTGGGACTGTAGCTCCACTTCACTGTGCATGTTAACATATTGAATGGGTCTATTGTTCATTAGCACCTTGGGTTGGGCGATACGATGACGTATACTGTGAGATGGTAGGAATCTGTTTTTCCAGCCCAGTCACCAGAAGAAAATGTCAGCATTGTTCGTGAAAACTAAAGATACTTGACATTCGTACGTTTCATACGTATCAGATTAACGTTTCCAAAGTGGCGCAGTTTATTAGCTGACTTTGTCATCTGGAGAAGGAGGGGGTGGTGTGACATCTTGGTGAGACAGACCACCAAACATAGGTGTTAGCGACCCATTGCTGTTTCCAACACGGTTTGTGCCACAAAAAGCAGTTGTTTTCTATCAGGACATCTCCATGTTTCCTATTGAGATAGTGCCATGAAAGGTGGCACTATCTCAATAGTGTTTTTTACTGAGATGTGTCTAACTGTAGACTTTAAAGGGGAACACCACCTAAATTAAGAACTCTAATATGTTATTTCCATGACCCAGGAAAGTTCAATCAGTATTTGTGAACATGAACGACTCTCTGTCAAAGCCTGAAACCAGAGAAGTAGGGCTGGGCCATATGCACAAAAATTCATATCTTGGTATTTTCAGGCTGAATGGCTATACACGATATGTATATCTCGGTATTTCCTATGAAATGGGCTACATGATCAGTTTCGAGTCAAAGCCACTTTTGGCGAGATGTACACGGGCGTGGCTTTTTGGAAGAATGCTGATATGACCCACAGAATGTTTGTTTCCCTTTTTATACCCAAATGATCATTATTCTGTCGTCTCGTTCTCAGTTCTGAAACAGAAAATGTTTCCATGTACTCAGAGCGTTCCCCTGAGTGCTCTCAGTGTCATCTAGAACAGTGGTTCCCAACTGGTCCAGCCATGATGTCCAGATTTCTGCGCAGTCATTGGTTTAAGGTTCACGCAGTTTAGTATTTCCAGCATCATATTTGCATTTGACCATGTCGTCGAGCTAGTTTGCTGTCTCCATTTGTCAGTTGTACTTAAAAATAAAGTGGGCTTTTTTTTTTACAAACTTGACACGTTTGCGAGTCATGTGGTCCATTCAGAGTAGGCCCACGACCCACTTTTGGACCGTAACCCACCAGTTGGGAACCACTGATCTAGAACATCTTTACAGTTCATTGTCTGTAGAGCAGTTTCAGACTTCACACACTATGACGCCACAAATTTGACTTTTAGCAGTCTAGTTTTTGGATCTGGAAGTTCTGACTAATATTCCTGGACTGTTGTAGACCATAGGAGTAATATTTATGAACTTTGAGAGCTCCTGCAGCGCACATAGATTTTTCCCTTTAATTTGTCTGATTAGATTTCTGCTGAGGACTGTGCAGGCATGTTCGACATCTTCCCAACTTTACTCATTCTCTTGTTGCAACTGTCACAGTGTGGCTCAGGGTCTTTGACCAAACTGTCAGCATGGTGCAACCCAACTTCAACCTGAGCAGAGATCTGATGAGCCAGAATAACTGAGCACACCTGTGTACATTTACCTCAGAGCCTTTTTAACTGTCTAAATGGCGCAATCTAGTGTCAAGTTGTGATACAACAAGACTGGATTTTAGAGCTGGAGGCCTGAAGACTCATGTTGATGTCATTATACATATTTTATATCAGTGTACAGTCATGCATAATGTTTTTATTTCTGTTTATTAACAGGATAAATACACAGTGAAGATATTATGATGCTCCATGTCCTGTTATTAAGCCCTGATCCAGTCAGTGGAGGCGACATGGAGACTGAAAGAGAGAGGTGATAAACGTTTAATGGGAAAGCTTTGCCACATATACAGACACATGGACACACAGTCTGCACTGTGTTTGTATGGATTCTCCTCAAGTGAAATCCAACCTGACATGTTACCTTTGCATACTGTATTAATTCATGTATCAATGAATGATTTATGTATCAGTGAATGTACGTAACCCTTCGAACATGTTGTTTATTACGTCTTCTTTGTACAGTTTTCTTACTTTATTTGACTCCACGGCACATACACAAAGGTGACTAACTATTAATGGAGTTATTTATGGATGAAAATAGCTGCAGACTGACTGTTGCTCTGCAAACACTGTTGCAATAGTAAAACAATGGGGTGTGAGGTTATGTGAGTGTGTGTTAGATAACACTGTTGTCTCAGGTTGCTCCGAGGCGGGTTTGGTTTCTCTGAAGGTCTGTCCGTCTGTGCACTTGAGCGAATGACTGTGCATGAATGTTCATTTTATGTTGGTGAAAATCTGTTTTGTATCGGAAGATGTACCCACAACCACGATTATTATCTTTTATTAAAATAAAATCAAAATTATTATTGTTTTGTGTGTGAATATATTTTGATATATCCAACTGGTGTTTAATTAAAGGGACAGTTCACCCCTAAATCAAAAGGACATATTTTCCTCTTCCCTGTCAGACTATATATCAGTCTAGATTGATTTTTTTGTTAGTGTTGGAGGTATTGGCCGTAGAGATGTCTGCCTTCTCTCCAATGTAATATAGTGGAATGAGATTTAACTGTTCAATACCAATAATAATAGTAATAATAACAATGAAACATTTTATTTATACACTGACACTCAAGGTCACCTTACAGTCAAAGATAAAAGAAAAATTACAGATAAACTCCACGAGATAAAGTAGCATAAGAAAAAAATAATAACAAATAAATAATCAGCAATTTTATTTTTTTAATCAGCAGTTAGAGAACAGATGAGTTCATCTCTATTCAGTCGAGCAGAGGGGTGAATACATTTGCTTCCAGTTGCAAATTTGCATCCTAGCATCACATGGACTTTAACTTCAGTGAACTTTGACCAGTGAAGTCTGAGCCTCAACCATTAACAAAGAGGAATGTGTGGAAGAGACATTATGGACATGAATAACTCGAATGAGGCTCATCATGGTTATGATCATATTCAGAATATGGTGTTGACATGAGCACAGAGACATCAGGTTATTCATATTCCCTATGTTCATCCTGGTTTCTCTCAGAGTAGCCAACATATCTAAGTTTTATATTAACATAATATGATCTTTACGTGCTCAAACACACAAACTCCAAAAACCCAATCATAAACGGGTAATTCATGTCCAAATAAATAGTAAATAAATAAGTAAATGCACTCATTAAAAAACAGCATTAAAAGAGAAATTCACCTTCACCTTGTTTGGTTTTGATCCTGGGAACACTGAGTAAACCTGTTCCAGATGATCTGAGGGGTCTGGATGCTTCATAACGTACAAATATATATCAGAGATGTATTTAGGCCCGAGACCATTTAGTGCTTTATAGACAAGCAACAAGATTTTAAAGTCTATCCTTTGACACACAGGAAGCCAGTGCAGTGACTTAAGCACTGGTGTGATGTGCTCCACTCTCTTGGTGTTGGTGAGGACTCTGGCAGCAGCGTTCTGGACGAGCTGCAGTTGTCTGATTGATTTTTTACTCAGGCCTGTGAAGACACCGTTACAATAGTCCAGCCTGCTGAAAATGAAAGCATGAACAAGTTTTTCTGTATCTTGTTTAGACAGAAATTCTTTTATTCTTGCTATGTTTTTAAGGTGGTAGTAGGCTGATTTAGTAATTGTCTTAATGTGACTATTGAAATTTAGGTCTGAGTCCAGAACTACACCAAGATTTCTGGCTTGATTTGTAGGTTTTAGTGTCATGGCGTCAAGGTGAGCACTGACTAATGATCTTTGTTCTTTGGGACCAAAAACAACTATCTCAGTTTTTTCCTGTGTTTAGTTGTAGAAAATTCTGGCACATCCACGTGTTGATTTCGTCAATGCACTTATTTAGCAGATGTAGGGGACTGTAGTCATCTGGTGACGCTGTTATGTAAAGTTGTGTGTCATCTGCATAAGTATGGTAGGAGATGTTATGATATTCCATAATCTGAGCAAGAGGGAGCATATAGATGTTGAACAGAAGAGGCCCAAGAATGGACCCTGGAGCCTTCTTTGCATGAAAAAATATATAAAAAATTTACAAACAACACATGTGAAATTCATGGCACAAGAAATCAATTTTTAAGGTCCCATGTACTGGAAATGGAAACACACAACTTACGAGCTCTATATGCATACATTAACATATGACAGTATATGTATGTGACAATAATAATCATAATAATAGTAGAAGTATGACTGATAATAACAGCAGTAGTAGTCGGCATCGGGCAGGATCACAGCAGCAGCACAACTACGACCCACGACCCAGGCGTAGCCGCGATTCGAGGGAACCTGCAAGACACAAAGGCTCCAGAGAAGAAGCCGAGTTACAGCCGAATACATTTGAAAAACTTAACATCAGTGTCTCTTTCCAGAAACCATGACCCCGTTACTGAAGAGAATCCACAGACCTTGTTGTGAGCAGTTTCATGTAGGAACTATTTTCTTTCTACTGAGCTAAACTCACCAACCGTATCACTGCGCAGAAGGAAGCGTGCATCTACTGCTAGCTCTCCTAGCACCACTGAGCTAGCTAACGTTACAGCTCAGCCGAGGAGGACGCCATTGATGTTAAAATCTCACACTGTCAGGAGCCTCTCGTTAATGAGTAGATGCACTCTTCCTTCTGCGCAGTGGTACGGTCGGTGGGTGTAGTTTGTTAGACAGAAAATAGTTCCTGAATGAAACTGCTCACAATAAGGTCTGTGGATTATAAAACTCTGAGCCCCACAAGCTGAGTGACATCTAGTTCCATTATACTGCAGAGAAAGCAGACATCTCTACGGCTGATGTCTCCAACACGCTGCAACTATCTGGACTGATGAACAGCTCTACAGGTAAGAGGAAAATACGTGTTTTTAATTTGGGGGTGAGCGGTCCCTTTAATGTAAGCTGTGCCTCTACACCCTGACACTGACGGACGATTAGTGTTTGTATAAATAAAAACAACGGGCTCCAGGCGGAGGGAGGATGTAAGTGGATCTGGCAGACAGCCTGGTGCTCTAATGTTCCCTCCTCTGCAGGGTCTGCTGTCCTTCGGAGTAAAACATACACAGACTGTAAGTTTCAAAGAGCACACTGCAGTCAGCATGGCCTCCAGCCCAGAAGGGAAAAAAGCAGCACTGACACCAGATATGTGCACGTAACTCACATGTACTCTCACATGCGCCAACTCATAAACACACCCCGACTATCAGAGCACATTCCTGCACACCAGCATCTTCTGAACCTTTCCCCCAGTGAAGAAACAAGCGAGCAGCCACTGTTAATCCACTCCTCGGCCCTCCTTTCTCCCCTCTCCTTTCCCAGGACATTTGCCAAGGTTACAGAGATGGGAGGGGAGCGGAGGGGAGAGGAGGGGAGCTGACACAAAGGAACACAGGGGGGTGAGCGACATGCAGAATGTATGAGACACCAGAGAGGAGGGAGACTCTGAGCTGAGCAGCTGCAGTGTTGTGTGAGGATTTTTAAGGATTTCCATCACATCACAGGGCACCGTTACATCTTTGGGTCGTGGGATAATAAATTCCACTGCATCAGGAGTCAGCTGACGGAGGAGGAAAAAAACCAGAGGAAACAGTGTAAGAGAGATGAGGAGGGTGCACGAGGCTTTTGAAGCAGCAGGAAGGGGGCTGGGCCTCTCTGACAATGCCTCTCTCCAGTAAGGACTTTCGCAATGCTAACTTTGACCTGTGGACTTTATGCTCAGGCTGTAGCATTTAGGCAGCGTTCAGCACGGGCTGCTCTCAGGAGGACACAAGCCGCATGGTGAGTGTGTTCTGAGCCGGTCATCAGCAGCACAGGAGCTGACATGCAGAGTGTACCGGAGGAGTGGAGGGAAGGACGGGATGAGAGGACACAGGAGACCTTAGTCCAGAGGAAAGGGGGCTCAGACATGAAGAATGGAGGAGGTGTAGAGGAGGAGAAGGACTCGCTGATGATGGAGCTGACGAGACTGGTGCAGAAGATGGTGAAGGAGAGCAGCTGGTGGGAGAGAAGAGGGATCGACTGCAGCATCCTGGCAGCAGCATTCCTCTGTCTGCCGCCCGGTGAGAGTCTGTGGGAACTTCACACAGCTTTTATTTAACCATTTAAAACTCTCACTGCATTCGTTAAAGAAGAGGATGTGACCTTAATGTTTATGTGTGTGAATGACAGTATGGCATCAACCAGTTAGACTTCAACCTGCAGATTATAAAAAATAAACCAACACATTTACATCATGTAAAGTGATGTGTGACAGGGCCATAATTATCTGTTTAACACTGGGGGGGCCGACAACCCAGCAATTCAGTTGCAACCCTCCTGAGGGGGTTAACGAAAGCTTTCGAAATTTAACAGCTAAACTGAACATTTTAGAGCATTTGGAAACTAAAATCTGAGATCAGAGATATGGATTTTTCAACCGATATGATAACCAACCATTTACATTTTTTTGTAACTCAACTTTTTTATTTATCTTTTCAGTCAAATCTGAAGAAACTGATTCTGTTATTGGAACGTGTCCACAGGCGGCTGGTAGCACCACAGTGGTTCAACTAAACACCACATCGTTACGGTTCAACAGACATATTACAAACAAAAAAAGTCTGTCCATGAGCTCTTAAAGCTTTCACCTTCATCGCTGACCCTAGCTAACACGTGCTGATATGTGACAATTTGGAACATAGATTCTCTCCATTTTACAAAAGCTGGAGGTGATGTACTCTCCCAGAATCTGAGGCTCACTCAAGCAGCTGTGACGACCCCTACATTTATCACAAGGTCATATTTTAATACATTTGGCAGTTCTGTTTGATCCCCCATAAGGCATAGCTTTGCTGATTCAGGTACCATCATACCCAACCACTTCACTCTGTGATACACAAGTTGTTCCCAAAGTGGGGTAACCAGCCGATAATTTATCGGCCCGATACATATCATGCATCCCTAGCACACACATTACTTTTTTAATACAGAGTTCCTGTGGGGCGATCACACCTACAAGGAGCGCTGGAAACGAGATGCCAGTAAAACAATTGATTCCCTATGACACGGCGCGTCTGACTGGTTTTCAAGCATTTTTTATGATAAGTGTCTTTCTGGAGTCTTTTTAGATGCGCATTTGTAGACATTGAAAGTTGAAATAATCTCAACTTTGGGTGTCTGGTGCCAGTAGCACCATAGAACTCCGTCTTGCGTCCATTTTCAATGTTTTGATCGCCTGGTTGCGCACGCACCCCCGCTCTACAGGCGCTCCTCGTAAGGAGCGCTCAAGGGTGTTTCAGGCATTTCAAGCATCTTTGAAGCATCTGCGTTTCTGGCACCACCTGTAGGTGTGATCGGCCCCTTACAGCTTCAGACAGGTTGAATTTAAGACTTATAAGATGTTCTTTAATGCCACTCGGAATGTAATTCAAGACCAATTTTGCAGTAACCAAAATAGACGAACAAAATGCAAAGCGACGTCAATAATTTAGGGTAAATGAAAATGTTGACGAACTGTTTATTTTACCGTAAAACACGATTTTTTCATTGCACAGCCGAGACAAAGACAGTACTGGGGGATATCTGGCATTTACTGGTGAGTTTTCTTGGCGATTTTGTTTCTCACTCTGCAGGTGGGATTCCTCCGCCTTGAATCCAATTGTGAGTTTGGAAAACTTTCTAATCATCTCTCTACTGACCATGGCCACTTACAAATAAAATAAATAAATAACTAATTATTTCAGGCCTAATTGTCTCAATAATTAATGCATGTCATCTGAAACATAATCATGGAACACATACAAACAGCTCTCTCTCCACAGTCCAACACTGTTGTCATAACTGGTTTACACATTCACAGTGTCCCACAGTTCCCCTCTATCTGGGTCACTGGTGGTCAGCTACTGACCTCAATTAGGACGAGTGCCTATTGTGACTCGTGTCACTCGATCATTGGAGCTGACAGCTCTCAGCACCAACACAGGACACCTGCTTCAAGCTTGTAATCTAGATTTATAGACGTGCAGTTAACAGATTAATTTATGTATTCTCCTGCAGCTTTTATCATGTGTGAGTTTCCCTCAAAATAATCCAAACAGTATCTCCCTGACTGTAGCGTGTAGGGTGAATAAATGCTTCTGAAATGAATTTTGTCTGACAGCGCGCCGGAGGAGGCATCTCTCATTGTTTATCACAGCTGGGGACTCATCCCCTGGAAATAGTTTGCTTTGAAATAGGAGGTGCAGAATATTAGCACCTTTTTATTGGGTTAGGGAGGAAATGTGTCACCTAAAACCTGATGTGAGAGCCAGCCAGACGGCCTCAGTGGCTGCTTCTGTTGCTGGGTGATTATAGGTTAAAAATCCTCAGTGCAACATTGATGCTGCACTGCATTAATTATTCATTGTGATCAGAGTGAGGTCATCTAATCGTCAGACTGAATTTGCTGACAGGAAGTTAGTACAAATATTTTAACATTTGTGAATATCGGATTGAATGATCAGGGTTGAAAACAGCAATTAAGAAAATAATAAAGATTTAAATACAGAAAACACACCAGCCCAGTCACCAGAAGAAAATTTTGTCATCGTATGTTTCTGCAGACCACAAATACTTAACATCTGCACGTTTCGTATGTTTCATATCAATGTAAAGTGACGTAGTATATGAGCTACCTGTCATCAGGAGGTGGAGGGGATGATGGATGGCGTGTCACCTTGGCGAGATGCCTGACAAGCTGCAGACTACAGCAGACCGCTGTTAGACACCAACAAACAACAAATCTGTTGTGTTTTAGTGAGTCATCACTGTGCTCCCAGCAGCTTTTTAGCCCCCAAATATGGGTGTTTTGTAGCAACCAGTCACTGTTTTTCCAGCAGCTTTTAGGCTCCCAACATGGGTGTTTTGTAGCCACTCGTCATGGTAATCCCAGCAGCATTTTAGCCCCCAATCATCGCTGTTTTGTAGTGACCCATCACTGTTTTTCAGCAGCTTTTTAGCCCCCAAATATGGGTGTTTTGTAGCAATCAATCGCTGTTTGTCCAGTGGCTTTTGGCTCCAAACGTTGCTGTTTTGTAATGACCCATCACTGTATTTCCAGCTGACTTTTAACCTCCTGACGTGGGTGTTTTGTAGTGACCTGACGCTGTTTTTTTTTTCAGTGGCTTTAAGGCTACAAATGTGTATTTTGTAGTAACTCATCAGTGTGTTTCCAGCAGATTTTTAACCCCCAAACCTGTCACTGCTTTGAGGTGACCCGTTGTTTTTCTCTTTTTTGCATTTTTTTCAGCGGTTTTTCAGGTACCAAATGTGGATGTTTTGTAGCAACCTGTCAGTTTGTCTCCAGGGATTTTCAACACCCAAACATCACTGTTTGTAGTGACCCATCACTGTTTTTCCAGCTGACTTTTAGCCTGCAGTTGTGGGTGTCTTGTAGTGATCTGTTGCTGTTTTGAGGCAACCTGTCATTTTTTCTCCGTTAGCATTTTTCCAGCAGCTTTTTAAGCACCAAACGTGGGTTTTTTGTAGTGACCAGTTGCTATTTTTCCACTGGGGATAGTGACGTGTTTTTTAGTAAGACTTTGCTGCAATTCCTTCCAGGATAGTGGCGAGAAAAGTAGCTGCCTTTTACTGAGACATTGTGGCTTCTCCAGCAGGGATCGTGCTCCCAAAACTGGATATTTTGAGCCAAAACATGACCTTTCTCTAACCATAACCAAGGGTTTTTGTGCCTATTGGGTTGAAAATGTCGATTCCTGCAAAAAAACATGTACATGTAAATAAAAAGAATATAGCGTGATGTCATCGTACAAGGAACTCCCTGTGTGATGACATGATGTCAGACACAAAGCAGCACAGTCACCTGCAGCAGGGTAAAGTTTCCTCCTCTCACATGATCCTCCTGCATGTCACAGCTGAAAGTCACACCGCTGCTGCAGAGGAGCGACGGCAGGTGGAGGCTCTCAGGTGACAGATACAACAGTGTGTGGATGACAGTGTGGGCCTGTTGAGTCAGACACCTTTTATTAATGCATCAGTGTATCTGTGTTAAGGTCGCTGTGCTGTGTCTTCCAGCCTTCCTGCTGCTGGGCTCCTCTCAGCTTCTGTGGTTTGCAGCTGGCATGCTGCTGATGGGCGTGGCGCACGCTGTCATCACCATCAAAGGGACACATCTGGCTAGCCACGGGTCGCTGAGCGAGTCGCAGGCCTGGGGGAAGTTCTGGGCCGTTTTCTTCATCGAGGTGAGATGTTCAGAAATAAACTGAAGAGTATCATTAAACACCCGCAGCAAAGCTTGTTCTCACGTGACGCTCTGTGGCAGGGAGCTTAAAATAACACTGATGCAGACAAGTCACAATGTCGGTAATGTACGATTCTGCAAACCATGAATATGTTATATGTTACTGTCATTGTTTCTAATGTGATGTAGTGTGTCATCAGCAGGTGATGGTGGATGGCGTGATACCTATGCGAGACGCCTGCCAAGCTGCAGACCACTGTTCAAGACCAACAAATGACAAAACTGGCAGCAACCTGACGCTGTTTCCTTTTTTTTTTTTTTTACAGAGAAATCACTGCATTTCGTGCCTGATTAGTGCCACCAGAACTGGGTATTTTAATCCAAAACATTTTAAAACTGAGTTTCAGTGCATCTGATAACGTGAAAATTAACGTGTCTGTGATTTGCAAAAACGTACATTTTTTCGTCTGATTGGGCTGACTGATGAAATGCCTTTACATGAGGCAATTACACGAGAATATTGATACCAATCTCTCTGGTATCTGCAGGGAAAATATGACGCTACAGCTAGTTGGCACATCGACTGGAAACAGGTGGAAACAGCTAGCCTACAGGTCCTTTTAAAGCTAACAAGCTAACAACAAAAGATGTCTTGGTGTGAAGGGGGTTCATGTGCTGGGTTATTGCTGCCTTCTATTTACCTTGGAAATCAGAGCTGGGAATGAGGTCACACCTGATTGGACCATTTCAGTACAACATATCAGAAAACCAAGATGGTGGTGGCAATGCCAGTTCTAGCCAGGCTAGCTATTGTTAAATTACATGGTATTACTCCACATTCTGCTCATACAAACACCATAGCAAAGTGTCCACAAATAGAAGTGTGTGTACAGCTGTTTTAATGAGACACAAATAAGACGGAAATGCTAAGAGCCCCTTTTACTGTTAGTAAACAGTATGATGTTTTTTGGTGGGCGGGGCTTAGCTGGAGGCAAAACAATTCACCACAGACATTAGCTAGCGCTGGCTAACAAGTTGTGTTGGCTTGTTTTCAAGAAAGGAGGAAGAGGATGTGAGTGGTGCGTTCAGAAAACTCATTCTGAGTGTGGGAGCGCACTCTGACACAAACTGGAGCGTTGATAAATTAATTAATTAATTCGTGAAAAGCAGCGCACTCTCAGAGTGTCTCGGAGCAGCAGAGCGCCGAGCGGAGTGAATGTGTGATTAACTTAAACGTTGGTTCATTCATGTAGAAATATAACGCTGCGTTTCTTCCACCAACAGGGCTCTCATTTTAGTGTAGAGCGTCAGACTGAATTTACCAACGCACCATGTCAGGTCACTCACTCTCCGGGACCGCCAGTGTTACTTGAATAAGTAAACACTGACCAACGGGACCAGACTGGCCGACCCGTATGCTCTCACTCAGTGGATGGATGATGTCACAGGAAGCCAATCTTACAAAGGAGGACCACACTTGTTTGTTTTGCTATGGAAGCTAAAGTTAGCTAATGTGCTAAAAAGTTAGCGTTGCAGAGAAATCCAATATTCCTCTTAATCCCTCCCCAGTTTCTGATGAGGTGGACATGATAACCCTTAATACACATAACCTTATTCATCCCTACAACAGGAAATACTTTTTCCCTAACCTGATATGAAGTGTGCGCTGCACATGTGAGCATTTTTGATGATGGCCTCCGTCCAGTCCTTTGGTCTTATCACATTTAACCATCTTTGTTTTTGTTGACGGGCAGTGGCGGCTGGTTTTGAGCCATGACTCCTTCTATTCTGGCTTGTCTTTTATATACTTTGTTGTTGTACAAATGAAACAAACAAGACATTAAGTGTTGCTGGTTAGCGGGTTTGTTGCCTTTGGATGGAGCTGTTTCCCCCTGTTTATAGTCTTTATACTAAACTAACTGTCTGTACCTTCAAATGTAGCATCCAGACACGAGAGTTGTACCAGTCTTCTAGCTCTGAGGAAAAGCACAGCTCCCAAAATGTCAAGCTATTCCCTTTAAAGAGGACCTGTTGTGCTTTCTCTTATTTCCTGCTCATGTTAAAGGTGAGCAGTGTTTCATCTAATAAGGTGAACGTGTTGAAGTAATCCCTGTGAGCAAAACCCTCAGGCTTCAGATGCTTCTGTAAACTGTTTCCAACATTTTTTTCTACTTTGGCTACAAGCTGACATAAACCGGCCAATCAGAGAAGCCTGGGCTTTTTCGGGAGAGCAGCTTAAAGAGGCACTCGCTAAACAGAGCGTCTCAGACAGCACTGTTTTTTAACCATTAAAGCATGTAAACACATTCATGCACAAAGTACAAGTATGAAGTTGAAAATCATCAGAGTAGGTCACTGACATGCAGCTGTTTGAGTGAAGCTGCTCAGAGATCAGTTGGGGGCCTCGGGCTCAGTGAACCTACACTGTGTAAACAGACAAGATAAAATACCCAGATCACTCAGTGCCGGCGCAGCCTGCATGACCCCAGAAACACTAATATTTACAGAAGTGAGTGATGTGTTTGACACTGTGAATCTGGAAATTAAAGCTGTGTTGTTGAGTAACATTAACAACCTCAGTGCTTCAACAATCAATTCAGTGAACTGTTGAACCGGTCAGTTCGGATGTTTGCCGAGCGTCCTGCTGCTCTTTAGGAAAACAGAATGTCATCATGACCTCTGCTGTTCTTTGCCCTCAGACAGTTTTTGGCAGCTTATCAAAGCAAACAGAAAATATAATAAAGCTGGGGCGAAGTCCATCAATAACAATATGGATTTTCCTGCTTGATAATTTTTGTGTTTGTTTTATGTGTTGCATCAGTGACAGTTTGGATGTTCATGAACCCATCTGTCCTTCATCACTCAGATCTGCGGCTCATTCTCAGCGCAAGCCGGCGTTCACGGCCACATTAAGATGCATCATGCTCATACTAATGTCATTGGACTGGGGGACTCCAGCGTTTGGAAGGTCCCCTTCCTGCCTCGCACTGTCTACCTGTTCATAGCTCCCCTGGCCGTGCCCATCATCACTCCACTCGTTGCACTCGGTAAGAGGCGCCAGAGGACCAGAGAAGGCACAGACGCTTTATGAGTTTGCTCAAATATTTCAACATTAAATGTGACTGTCAGCATAACGTTGAGATAGATTTCTTACTGTCTGATCCTGTTCAAGTTCCCGTGTTACCTAGCCTCTCTCACTCAGGTGTGACTTTATTCTCATGCGTGTGATTCTCTGGTTTGCAGCTCATCTCAGAGGACACTCTCTGGCTCTGGTGCTCAGGACCATGCTGATGGTAACACTGGGGCTGTATTCACAGTACTGGCTGCTGATCCACGTCTCTGGCTTCCAGTCGCCTCTCAGTGCTTTGCTCTGTATGCTTGTGTGCAGAGCGATGTTCTCCATGCCGTACATCCATGTCAACATTTTCCAGGTGAGAAATACCTGCAGCACGCCTGCTGTGCTGTACCAGCTCAGTATCCTCTTCATATGACACATGAAGGGTTTTATGTTCTCAGCAGTGTTTTGCCTGTGGTCAAATGTTCAGTGCGTTTCCATGAGTCAATATGTTGAAATCACCCCCCTTCGCCCTGAAATTTTCACATCAAGCAAGACAGTTTTATTGACTTTAGACATTGATACCTCCACCATGGCCAAACGGATTTTTAACGTTCAAACTGCATTTGAAACGTCCATGTCCCTTCATTTTTTTGCATTTCAATTTGCACAGATAGCCCTTACCAATCTCTGTTAGTTTATATCAGGAAACACATGGTCAAAACTCAACACAAGGCTAGACTGAGCCATTGGGAGCACAGGGATGACCCCCTTAGGAACATCAGTGCTTTGAGCTACATGCTAACATTCATTCATTCATTTTCTGTAACCGCTTATCCTGTTTGGGGCTCGTGGGGGGGTGGAGCCAGGCAGGGTTCACCCTGGACAGGTCACCAGACTATCACAGGGCTGACACATAGAGACAGACAACCATTCACACTCACATTCACACCTACGGACAATTTAGAGCCACCAGTTAACCTGGAGAACATGTCGGAGAACATGTCAGAGCACCTGGAGGAAACCCACGCTGACACGGGGAAAACATGTCAGAGCACCTGGAGGAAACCCACGCTGACACGAGGAGAACATGTTGGAGCACCTGGAGGAAACCCACGCTGACACAGGGAGAACATGTGGGAGCACCTGGAGGAAACCCACGCTGACACAGGGAGAACATGTCAGAGCACCTGGAGGAAACCCACGCTGACGCAGGGAGAACATGTCGGAGCACCTGGAGGAAACCCACACTGACACAAGGAGAAGATGTCAGAGCACCTGGAGGAAACCCACGCTGACACAGGGAGAAGATATCAGAGCACCTGGAGGAAACCCACGCTGACACAGGGAGAACATGTCGGAGCACCTGGAGGAAACCCACGCTGACACAGGGAGAACATGTCAGAGCACCTGGAGGAAACCCACGCTGACACAGGGAGAACATGTGGGAGCACCTGGAGAAAACCCACGCTGACACGGGGAGAACATGTGGGAGCACCTGGAGGAAACCCACGCTGACACAGGGAGAACATGCAAACTCTACACAGAGGGGCTCCCCCACCCTGGGTTTGAACCTGGAACCCTCTTGCTGTGAGGTGACAATGCTAACCACTGGACCATCGTGCCAATGTAATCTAATTTGATTTAATCTATTAATTTGAATTTATATATACAATAAGATAAAATAAAAAAAATATATATGTATATATGTAATCAATACATACATATATAAATACATATTTATTTATTTTTCCTATAAGTGTATTAGTCACTTATTTTCCCCTCAGTCATTGTTCTTATTATAAACTGATATGTTTCTGTTCTTGTTGCTCTTGGCGGTGGGTGCGGCGGGTTCATTGTTGGAAAAACTCGAGTCACTAAATGATTGTGTGACAGTTCCCAAAATGCTAATAAAATATGTTGTTAAAAAGGTAAAAGCTCCAGAACAGCTCCTAAATGGACCACTCCTACGCTAACCCTGAATTCACCCAGACACAGCCGGGCTCATGTGCTCCCCTCCAACAGATTTGGTAAAGACTTCTGGCCAAACGGTCATGAGAGCGCCTCTTGTTACTCAGACTCAAAGCAGCATTGTGTCGTGGTCGATCAGACCGGCCGGTGAACTAAAGGGATAAAAAGGAACAATTCATGCATGATTTTCCCAGATGGAGTGTGAGTGCCGCAGGTCATTGTGCATTGTTCTGATCAAAGTGTGTGAAGGTGGATTAAACGCAGGTTCTTGACGTGGAGTCGAGGGTCCAGCAGGGGAAGTGTTTGTTCTCTCTGGGGCGTCACACTGAGAACCTGCTCTCCCCTGATCCTGCTGCTGTTGTTGGCCGCTGTCCTATCTGTTGTCCCCTGAACTCAGTGTGCGTCAAGCTGAGGATTAACCTGACTCCAAACATTGTGTCGTAAAACTCCTCCGTTATATGCAAGAAAACAAGTTTCACTTAATAACACTCAATGAAAACACACAGTTTACTCTGTATTTTTACAAGCAGTTTTCTTGATTTGGTCCTTTGACGTCAATCAAATACTGAAATTCCAGGAAGTGAAGTCCAGTCTGGTCGAGCTGGTTCTGCCTCCCTGTGGCCTCAGCTTCACTGTGTGTCACTTTGTGTGTGGACATTTAAACAGGAGAAATCTGCACAACTAAACACAGATTGAGCTGAGATGTTCAGGGGCGTAATGTGGTGCTTATTGTCTAGTCTTAGTTTATAGCTAATATTTTACACATTCCTAATTCAATATGTGTTTTATCAAATATGTTTATTTCACAAGGCAAACCTGAAACTAAGGGTGCTTTCAGGTGTGCACAAAGACCTTCTCATATTCAGTGTAACAGGACGACTCATAAATGATCATTGTGTGGATGAAGTGCTCCTTTAACCAGTCTTGTCTCTAACTATGTGTCATTGGCAGCACATCGGCCTCCGCATGTTCTCTCCAACCCGCCGTCCGAAGAGGATCTACCAGATGACCCACGGAGTCCTGAACCTGCCACGTAACCCCGTGCTGGACTGGGTGTTCGGACACTCGCTTATCAACTGCCACGTGGAGCACCATCTCTTCCCCTTCCTGTCTGATAACATGTGTCTGAAGGTGAGGTGCAGATCATTATATATTAGCAGCTTCCACACGCTGAGTGGACTTTCACTGCAGCTCTGCCGGATTGTTTTCAGCACAAAGAGAGATTAATGCTTCGTGACATGAAACAGACGGAGAGGTGAAGGAGTTCAGAGGGTCGAACCAACAGGAGGAAACTTTATTGTCCACTACAGTCAGCACTTTGAATTTAGAGGCATTTTTTAATCTACAGGCATTAAATAATGTCATAAAGAAGCTCATATTTGAAGAGACTAAGTGAAAATGTGTTTAACCTTAAACTGAAGCTGCTTAATAAGTCATGAGATCAAGAAAATAAACAGAAAAGCGAACAAACAGTCAGTATGTGAACATTAAATAAGCAACATAAATCAACTAAATACATAAAATAAATAAAACCAACATGGATGTAAACTGTCAGAGAGTTTCGACTGGTGCTCAGATGCAAACGACTGCGGGGAGGTGATTCTAGTTCAGAGCACTTCCAACCCAACAGCCAGAAATAATGTTGTCATCGCACGTCTTTGTAAACCACGTTACATTTGCATGTTCTTATGTCGTCAGTGTGTTGAAACTTTGCACTATGGTTAATGAGTGGTCATGTTTAACAATCATTTGGTTATCGTTCAGAAAAGGTCATGTTATGGCATAACATACCTGTTTTTTGGGGGGCACTATCTCTGCAGGAAGCGCAGCGATGTCTCACTTTTTAGTTCCTAAAAGCCGCTGGAAACACAGCAATGACTCGCTTAATCACAACCTGTTCGTTGTTTGTTGGTGTTGAACAGCGGTCTGCAGCCTGGCAGGCATCTCGCCAAGGTGACACGCCGTTCACCATCCCCTCCACCTCCCGATGACAACTTCATGTGATCATATCAACGCTTCTGTAGTGATGTAGTATATTATTTTTTGCAGGAACATACAATGCCAAAAATGTTCTTCCGAGGACTGAGCTGGTATTTTAAACAAGCTCCATCTGCTGAAGAAGATCATGCAAAATGACTGAAAGCTCCAAAGAGCTACTAAACTAAACACTCGACACAGCACAGTACACTTTGTACACGCACACTCTTTTTACATTTACTGTACTAATAATTATAATTTATTAATTAACTAGTAAAAAGTCAAAAAAAAATTAAGCCTCGAACGACATCCATTTTCTTGTGCTGCGTTCAGGTACCTTTCAAAACTTGAAAAACACTGGAAAAAACCTGGAGGGAAAAGGCAATGAGCTCTTTTAGAAAATTACAGGAAAACTAGGGAGATGTCAAGTTCTAAATATATATTTAAAATGATATTACAGAAAATAGACATAGATTGTATTTCATTTAATTTTTAGCACTTTTTTGTTTGTTTTTTTGCTTATTATCAGGTAATTTCTTAGTTACTTAAGTAAGAACTTAAAAATGTTTAATGTGCTAATTTTAGCTCCATTTTATTAATTTCTCGTTGCCTTCTTTTCCATATTTTTGAAAAAAATAAAGCCAATTTGTTCATGTTTCAAAGAGTTAATACTATTTCCTGTTTTGTTCTCCCAATGAAGAACAAAAAGAATTAATTCATTAGCTGCAGAAGTTGTTAATGCCCAAATACCTTGCAGATCATTTTTAATTATTGTAGTATTTCTGTGCCATTTCTTGGTTTTAGTTGACAGCAATAACTTTTTCATTAAAATTAGTTTGTGCTGTAAAATAAAAAACATGGAGCAGACTGAGGTTTTATTATTAAAGAACATCTTGATAACTAAACAGCTGCTGTTGGTCTGGATTAATTATTTGTCTGTCATAAATACACTCATATATCACAGTTGAACAGTGAACATGATGGATCGACACTGATATTGATTTTTATTCGCTTTATTTTTCCATTAGTTGTGTCCTTAATGTGTGGAGAAGACACACACACACACACACACACACACACACAGGTCTTAAAGGGGCACCTTGCGATTTCACACATGAGCGTCAGTTTACTCGCCGTGAGGAGTTTGACTGAACCTGTGAAAATAATACTGTGAGATGTCGGCTGTGGCTCTGCAGGAAGTTTCTCAGCATCAGGGAAACTTTTGGTAGAGAAGCCCTTTTTAAACAGGAATTGTGCAAATTTGCAGGAAAGCCCAATCAGTGTTTTTTCAGCATTGGCAGTATAAAAACAAAATCGGGGAGTGCAGCAAAATGCCGCCTACCTACTTTTGTTTATACCAAAGATATTATATTATAACAAGATGGCCCACCTACAGTATACCCCCATTGTATGAAATGGTACATTTCTGGTCTCCTAAGTAGGCGTTGTCCCCCGTAGCCCAATCAAAGACGATGGAGAACCGCCAATCAAAGACGACTATCCCCAACCTCGCTTGATTATCGTAGATTAGCTGGGCTAACCGTTAGCTGTTAGCGGTGTCTGTAATAAACGGTCCGTGAGTAAAATATTTTTTCCAGCGGATATCTTAGTTACAACATGATTGAGCTAGCAAAGCAGTTTTGTGTTGCTATGTGTGGTATTTATTCAGTTTTGGGAAATCAAAATGTCTAGAAAGCATCAGCTGACAGGGACAGCTAACAGCAGCAGCAAAGCTAACATCAGGACGTCATCTGTTAAAAGCCTCCCGTTGTCGGATACGACATGAAACTACTCCAGTTAGCTCAATCATGTTGTAACTAAGACATCCGCTGGAAAAAATCATTTTTTTAATCCAGTGTCTTTGGTGAAACTGCACTGATTTCAGCACCAGAGAGAAGATATCTGTTGCCAGATCTTGCGAGAGTGTGTTGTTAAGACAGAAACAGGTCTTGAACAAAGTAAATTTCCTCCTGATTTGTCCGTCTGAAATTTGCCATTTTGGTGTCGGAATGTTCTGAAGATATGTGGCTTGTGATAAATGGATCCAATATTTGCTTCTGTGACTATGGGGCGAAAGAATCGGCCATAATATGTATTCACGTTCATTGCTCCCACTGAAGTCAATGGACTCAGGACCTGCTGTTAGTCTCCTAAAGGGGCGTGGTGGTCGCCAACCCCACGTGACACTGATACAGCAGTGGACCGTCTTGGTTTATCCCCATTGCCCTGAAAAAGGGGTTACCCTTTTTCAGGGCAATGGGGGGCGTGAGCAAGTAACAAAACGTGTAGCTCAGCGTGTGACGTAAACAGTGACGTGGGAGGGAAGCCGCGGCTGGTCAGTCCTTCGGTGATTCTCTCGTAAGTTGGCCCGTTCTTCACCGTCCCCGTCATCTGACGGTTAATGGCCTCTTCGTTTGCGAGGACAAGGAGGGCGCGCAATTCCTTGTCTCCCCAGTTGCTCATCTTTACAGTGTCTGTCAGGTTTGTGTTTCCCTCTTGCTACTAGCTGCTCGCTAATTCCTGCTATCAGCTGTTTCCTGTTTATCCACCGCCAGTGGCTCGCACGTGCGGCGTCATCAACAGATCCTCCCACAAGTCATCAACAGCCCCTCCCACAAGTCATCAACAGCCCCCCTTGGTTCTGTTTAAACTAAAAGGTTCCACCAATATGTCTACCCTACGAGGCAGAAAAATTGGGCACCTCGGATCAACTCGCCAATCCTGCTCTGTGTGTCTAAACGCTCACAGCTTGTCAGCAAAATGGCCCAACATTTGCTGAAAATCTGGCAGTGTAAAAGGGGCTTAAGTGAAGTGTGAAAGAGCGAAACATGAACCAGACATTGAGAGACTAATAAAAAATTCTACAGGGTTGCTTTATGGAAAATACAGGATTCAGTGTTTTTGGAGACTGAATTGGAAAGAGTCAGGATGTGTGTCGGCCTCTGCTGCTTCAAGTTTGACCATCTTTCTTTTATGTCTCCTGTGAGTCCTCAGACTTTATGAGAGAGAGAGACACTAAATCTCTGGAGTTAATAAGTCAGAACAAACTTTTAAATGAGGTCTTATAGATCTAATATGAAAGACGGATTAACTAGTTTGCCCATTTTTTCATCTCAGATCTGTTCAGAAACAGATTTGTTTTGGCTGCTGAGGTGAAATTACTGAACGTTCACAGCATATTTTCCTTGTTTCCAAATCAGGGGACAGGAAACATGTATCATGTGCAAAGGATTGTGGGTGCTTTAAGAGCGCTGAGGATGAAATCAGGCATCCTGGGGTTTTTATTTTAAATCATTTTTAAAGGGGTTTTTTTGCCTTTATTTGGTCGCACAGTTTCAGAGTGACAGGAGAGGGGAAGAGAGGGCGTGACACACAGTCGGTAGAATTTTAAGGATGATGTAGCATCTTTGAAATGCAGCTGATTGAAGACCCTTCATTGACTTTGTGAAGAACCTGATTATTTAAGATTTAATTTAGGTGAGCAGCTTGATGTGGTCCTTTTTATGTCTTTAACCTGCAGTCACATCATGTTGTGTGTCTGTGTGTGTTTGTATAACTGTAGCTGTGGATGTGTGTGTCCTGTAGATGCTGTTCAGTGGTTTCCTAGTTTGTTAGAAACCTCATTTGACTTCTAACCGTGTGTCTGTCCCTCCAGGTGAAGCCTGTCGTGTCCAAATACCTGACGGAGAAGAAGCTCCCGTACCAGGAGGACAGCTACCTCTCTCGTCTGCACCTTTTCTTCCACAAATACCAGGAGCTGATGGTGTTCGCCCCGCCCATCTCAGAGCTGGTGGGCGTGCAGTGATGAAGGAGACAAACTGTTGACACTAATGACTGCTGCTCCAAAGCACAAGCTTCAGTGTTCAAAGTGACACGTTAGAAACCTCCACAGTCCAGGTTTGACCTGCCTCTGACACACAGAGTTTAATCAGTAACACAGTATGATCCATGTAGTTTGATTAAATTACTCCTTATGATTGATTTTTAGGAATATTGTAAGAGCTGAGTGAATATTCTGCACTGTTAGATCAGGGCTCGATTGCTCGTGTCTGTTGTCATTGACATGGCTACCAGTAAAGGCTACCGTTATACTTTGAACATCGTTTCCAAGTCCTGGTAATTATACGAGTATCACAGGAACATATACTCACCCCGCATTCGGGAGTCAAGCTATACTACAACAGTATATCTAGGAAACCACAACATAATTAGCACAAAGATAAGAGCTCACCTGATTTAATGTGTGCTGCTATTTCTCCACTGACCTGAGGTCTGGTTTATGAGACATGATTCCCACTGGAGACCTCATTCACTGCAGCAGTAAAAAAATAATGACCCATTCTAGGGCTGGGCGATATGGACTGAAATTCATATCTCTGTATTTTCAGGCTCAACGACGATACACGATATATATCTCAGTGTTTTCTTCGTGTTCAGCTGCAGGTCAAAGACACATTTAAGACGTCAGGAGCACTTTTATAAAAACAGACTGTGATCAGAATAAAAAGCAAAGACAGGGATTTTCTCCCTGTTTGAAAATAAACAGCTGCACAACATGTAAATGGGAAATGATATCAAATAAACAGCAGGGCTGCACGTTAAATCTGTGCACACAGCACTGCAGCTGCAGAGGTTTAAAGGTTTGCAGCGCACAACACTGAACTATAACATGACTGTAAAAGTGTCAGTTAGGTTTGAAACAGTTAAAAATCTTCGTGGGCGGAGTTAAACAGTTGTTCTCCATCTGTCGGCCGTTCAGATGAATCTAGCGCTGGAAATGATTTAAATATTTTAATCTTATTTCTGCACAGAGCATCAACAGAGAGGCCGAGGGAGACAGAGACACTTTGTCCTCCGTATATACGTCTTGTGTGTGAAACATCTGTCTCAGTGTCACACATCAGACTATAACGACCAAGATGAACGGCGACACGCTATGATCCACCTCACACACAACCTAGCAAACGCTCACCTGACACAATCAGGCAGCTCTGTCTCCCACACATGCAGCACAGCGCTGTACTGCACGTGTGATGCTGCGGTCATTTACTTCATCTCACAGACTGATGTAGCGCAGCACGTGCAGCGTACAGACCGACGTCACACTGTAGACTAATGAACATGATGACGGATTAAACACAGGAGCAGTGTTGATGGAGAAACTGTGCAGAGTGTGTGAGAGAGGAGAGATGAACACTGGAATGACATTATGTAACGCAGCTTGAGCCTGTATTGAAGTAAGCCATGTCTAAATTTATATCTTGCTTGAAAATATATCGATATATCACACGTAGTCGTCATATCGCCCAGTCCTGATTCATTCATGTAAAAGTTGCAGCACAACAGTAGTATACTCAACACAGCAACAGAAACATAACACAGGAACTAAAGTTACAGCATCTTATAAACTATAAAACACTTGTCTTGCACAGTAAGAATCATTTTACATGTTTCCTGTGATCATTATGTAGCAGTAATATTTCACCTGTAAAGGAAGTTCATTTATGAGCAGGTTGTTTTTCACATTTGTTTCTCTGTGCTTCTAGTTTTTAGGTTAAGCTCAAGGCCAAAACACACAGGTGGAGTCATTGACGCAAGTCAAGTGCCGCCCCCAACACACACAAAAAGTGTCGCGCTGCGGGGCGTCAACTGGATTTCTATTGCACACTCCAGTCCGGGAAGCTGGGAAGTACAAATAGCGCTTTTTCAAGGGCGGCAATGCTGGAAAAATAGGACAATAGCGTAAAGTGACGCGGCGCGGCAAATTGACGCGCGTTGAGCCGCCGCTGGTGTGTTTTGGCCTTCAGCCAATCACCTGCAGGCTCCAAACACACACACACACACACACACACACACACACACAGAAACCACTGTCCACCAGATACTGTAGTTTTTACTCCACTACATTCACTTGATAACTTCATTTACTTTACAAATTAGAAGAATCTAATAATAGTTTCAGTTTCAGTTCATTTTTCATGCAAAAACATTGAACTGTTTGAGCTTTTTAAAATGAGAATGTGTTGCTTTTTCTTTAAAAAAAAAGTAAATCAATTTAATAAATCAAAATAATTCAAATTTAATTTGATTTATTGAATTGATTTACATTTTTCTGCATTGAGCGTTTTTTTTACGTCTAATACTACAATGCAGGACTTTTACCAGTATTTTTACAGTGTGCTTTTATTTAAGTAAAGGATCTGAACACTGCCTGGAGATGAGTTTTAGCACTCGTGGTTCCCTCGTCTCAGAGTCAGTATCAAATAAAGTCTGTGGTTAACACAAGCTAAGATGCGTTCATGTTCTGTTCTGCCACATAGTGAATATCTCACTGCTGAACGTTGAAGATTTTTACATGTCTTAAAAAAGGTGAGATAAATGAGATCACAGAATGTCGTCATGTTTAACACAGATTAAGAGTCTTGCTGTGGTAATCAGCTTCTGGTAATGTCATCCTGGTTAATGTCAAGTTGACATTGTTTGGGTTGTCTTGATTATGACAAGTTGACATTAATTAAAGTGACATTACCAGAAGATGTCTTTGTCATAACAAGTTGACATTAACAAGAAATGCACCTCTTTTTGTGTTTATGACAAACTGACATAATGATTACTATTGTTATGACAAAGACAACTTCTGGTTAATGTCAAGTTGTCATTATAAGGACAACCCAAACAAATTTAATGTCAACTTGTCATTACAAAGACAACTTCTGGTAATGTCACTTTGATTAATGTCAACTTGTCATAATCAAGACAACCCAAACAATGTCAACTTGTCATTACAAAAACCGAATGACACTTAATGACAGCAGTCATAAACATTTATGACATGTACATAATGTTTATGACAAGTTCATGACAGTGTCATGTCACCCTTATGTAGATACCTTCAAGTAAAGTGTTACCCCGTGTCCTAGCTGGATGTGAGCGTCAGACTGTCGCACCACATCACGTTACATTGGACGCTCTCTGTCCACAATGGATCTGATAAATACAGACGTCCATCATGTAATTTAAACAAACCACCTTGAGGCAGCTGTGTCTCAGAGGGTGGCAGCACTTGATGCTGTTATTCAGCAGTCTGATGGCCTGTGGGTGGAAGCTGTGTGTCAGTCTTGTCCTGGATTTCACGCTCCTGTAGCGTTTGCCTGATGGCAGAAGTGTAAAGAGACTGTGCTTAATGATGTTGTGGGAATAATAATAGAAACATGTGTGACACTGTGTCCTCACTGAACTTTATTCTTTACTTTGTTATATGTCAGACAAAAGTTTAGCTCAAGATGGCGTGCCGTTTCCCAGGTAGTTAGGATGGTGCAGTAGAAAACAATGCAATCAAACTGATTTAGTTTCTGACGCTCACTCACATGTCATCCAGTTAGGACATGGTGTGTAAGAGTATTTGCACACAGCACAACACCTGCTGTTTCACAGTGTTTAGGGGCCATTTCTGGTGCTAATAGGTTACTTATGATCAAGTGGGATTCATCACTCAGCACAGCTGCAGATGAGCAGACTGGGATGGTTTTGAAAATTAAGAGAAATTTAAGAGAAAGTTTCTGCATGAGGCCGATGATCTTCTCGTCAACTCTACTGCCTTTAATCAGATGGAGAGGAGTGTTCCTCAGTCGTGTTACTGTAACAAAACAGTCTCTTAAGTTTTAATGGAATAAAATGTGTGTGTTTTAAATACTGAACAAACAAAACCTCTCAAGTTAACTTCCTGTGTTAGTTAACCCTCTGTGTTTAATGCTGCTGCTGTAAATGTTCAGCTCCTTGACTTCACTGTAGCTGCAGCACATCAGCACAAAGAGGCGTCTCAGCGTGTTTGTTTTTCTGTTAATAAATTTCATAATTTCAGAAATGTTTTTTTGCCTTTATTGACACAAACGTCTGAGCTGCCTGTATGAGGTTCTTCTTTTAGTGACATTCCTCATTAAATAATTGAACATTTATTCACGTAAATTAAACTCTCCATGGTTTAATCAAAACATATCGAGAGCTATATTTAAAATTGTGGATTTACTGAGACATAACAATAAAGCTTTTCATTAAATTTTGTTTGTGGTGTAAAAATACTTCAAGCAGTGTTAATAGATTTTTTTGCAGCAGAACACACTTTAAACACTGAGTCTGAACACATTCATTGGTTTTATTCATGCTCCTTTCACATTGTGACCTCATCATTTGATCCATTGACATTATCCACTCAGCGACCACTTTATTAGGTACACTCTGTTCAAAGCAACTGTCTGAACTCTGCTCAACAGGAGGCACAAGCAGAGTTCAAACACACGTGTGTCCCCAAGTACGGTGTCAGTGAAATGGCATGTGTTTGTGTGTATAGGCAACAGATCACAGTGTTAAAGTGAACCAACAACGTTCATCTGCACACACTGTGATCACACACACTGTGATGACACACAGCTGGTTGAATATGAGCAAAGTTTCCCTGCTTCCCTTCACTGGTTCCTGTACAGCAGGGTCGCTCTTTGTTTCACTGTTAGAATCATTACAAAGCAAAAGCAGCATGTGTATACATTCAGTAGGCTATATCTTCAGTAGCTAGCTAACATTAGCTAACCCTACACTTTTCAGGGTCTGATTTTGGTTTTGGAACAGGGAAGAAACGTATATCAAATATTTCTGTGTGTTTTTGGACCTTTTGTTCACCGTGAAGTGAGAACAACAAAGTTGTCTCCATGACAACGTCACACACAGTAAATGGGAACTTTGTGGGTGACGTGTTCCTTTAAAATCCTTTTGGCCTTTGCAGAATAAAGTCACAAATAAAACATGTAGTGATGTAAAGATTTTTTTAAAACAAAAAAGTGGGGCAGCCAGAGGTCACACCCATGTCTCTGATTGGCTGAACACACATGTGATTAATCACATGACCACATGACAGCTGCCCTAAATGAGGAGGAAGACATGAGTCACTTCATCTTCACTTCTGTGTTTCTCTGTTGACGTCAGGCTGTGGTCACTTGGTGGCAGCATCTGCTCTCATTTACTTCATTCACTCTGTATTTACATTTTCACTGGATTTTCCACTTGAACTTTGGAGCAGTTTCAATGCTCACATGATGTAAGAGAGGAAGCAGAGGAACAGACAGACAAACGGCTGCAGACATGATTTCCTCAGTTTCATCAGGACAGTTCAATCAGGCCGAGACAGAGACATCAGAGGAGCACTGAGTCTGTGTGTGAGGTGAGATTAAAACAATCAACAATCAGTTTCAGTCCAAACACAGTGCATGTTGGGGAACGCAACTCTACACCTCTGTGTTCCTGGTTTACAGTGCGGGCTCCACCCTGCGGCTTCTGTCTCTTCCAGGGAAGGGGAGGGCAGTGATTGTGCGTGGGGGTGTATCACTGCTGAGGGCTGAGGGGGCGGAGAGCTTTTAGACTGAAACTACGAGCCATGACTGTTCACATCCTCTAGGTGTGGCCTCCCAGGCTCCTCAGTGTGATCCAGGAACTACCGGCTGACAAAAGTGGCTGAGCCAGTTATTCTCAGAGAGCATAAGAGGAGTGGAAGTGAGGCCGGGCTGACAGAAACAGGCTGAAGACATGGCAGATACAGAGGCTCCCACCTCCAACCAGCAGCAGCAGCTGTGTGGCATCTGCTCAGGTGCGCTCAGTGGAGACAAGCCGGCAGCCTGCAGTCACTCTGTGTGTGGCTCCTGTCTCGGGGACAAAAGTAAAGGATGTCCTCAGTGTCTCCAGAGCCCGGACAAGCCTGCAGACGCTCCCAAACAGAACGGGACAGAGGCTGAAGCTGTGATCAAGAGTAAAGAGGAGCAGAGTCCGGACCCTAAGGCTGCAGAGGAGACCAAAATCCAAGAAGACCTGAAGGAGTCTGAGGACCCCAAGAAGCCTGAGGTTGAGGAGCAGAAGGAGGAGAAGGAGCAGACAGATGGAGAGGTGAAAAACAGAGCAAAAGAAGAAGAGGTAAAAGAAGAGGAGGTGAAGGCAGAACCTCTCGGCCCCGACGATGTGGTGTGCGACTCCTGCATTGAGAGCCCCTGCAGGGCCCTCAAGTCCTGCCTCACCTGCCTGGTGTCGTACTGCGAGGCTCACCTCCGGCCTCACCTGGAGAACCCCAAGTTCAACAACCACCGACTGGTGGAGCCGCTCAGGGACATTGAGAGACGGACCTGTGAGAGCCACAACTGGCCCCTGGAGCTTTACTGCTGCGCTGACACCTGCTGCGTCTGTCAGGACTGTGTGACGGAGGAGCACAAGGGCCACAACACCGTGCCTGTGACGGAGGCTCGCAGTCAGATAGAGGCAAGTTTTTCTTAAATTCTCTGTCATTTCCCTTTCAGAAGTTCTGGTTTATAAATCTAAATGTTTTAAATTATTAAAACAGACCCTCATCACAGGTTGTTTCTCAGCGTGGACACAAACTAAAGAGTCATTTTTTCTTAACAGATTTATCCTCTTTGAAGGATTTTCAGAAACCCGCAGAGGTCAGAGTAGCCACTATTTCACAGGAAACAAAAGCTGAGAAGTCTGGAAAAAAAAACTTCTTGGACCCTGACCCTCAGGTCAGAAACTGCAATCTGAAATCATTTATCAAGCGAAATGTCACAAATTCACTGGTTCCACATCACATCTCTGCTTTACATAGTTGTAAATTAAATATCTTTGGATTTATTTGGACTCTTAATTGGACAAAATAGTAATTTACAGACAGAGTTTGTCATTTTATAAACTGAATTATTAATCAGACAGTAATTATTATGAATCATACTTAGCTGCAGCAGTCTTTGCGCACACCAGTCTCAGATTACACCCGGCCTCCAGAGTGGTTTTGTTATCTGACATCTGTGTGTGTGTTTTCTGTTGCTATCGATTTTTCAATCTGTGGCAAAGAAGGCTGAGTCCATTACAGTGTGAGCGGTCATGAGGACTTAAATAACTGCCTTCGAGTAATAAATAAAGTTTTCCAACATCAAAACAAGTGCCGTTAATCTCAGTTAATCTCAGTTGCTCTGAAATCATTGTTAAATCGTCCCCACGCTGCTGCTCTCACATTGGAGAGAGATGTATGTCAAACTGAGAGGCTCTGATGGATGTAACCTTCAGCACCAGAGGAGAGGGGATCTTCAAAATGCATCACAGTTGTTCTCACATGTCCAACATTGCAGCTCTGATCACTTTAATCCCAATTAGGAGAGTAATTCTGATTTATATCCTCTGTAAAGGTCATCAAATCACGGGCTCGCTCTGTGTGATTAACAAGATATTTTGGTTTTCCAGCGCTCTGGAAACTCAAC